CAACTTCACAGACTGCATGCTTTCTCTGCGCCGGAGACTGCTACTCTTGCCTCTGAATCTGTCCAACACAGGCCGAAAACCGTCTCTGTCTCTTTGGAGATTTCTCTGGCCGCGTTAGCAGCAGTCCTAGCAAAGTGCATCGAGATGGAGAATGAGGGGCTGACAGCTGCGACCTTCGTCCAAGCCATGCACTATGGTCCGCACGCACACTCGGTTATTTGGGATAATCGGCCAACCGTGGCATGTTGCCGACAGCACCTGTTTTATCAGTTTGTCTGTAGACGACCTTCGTAGTGATTTCTGGATTCAACGACAGAGACACTGGCTTATAGCGTGGATGGACCAAGCTGATGCTGCTACCTTGCTACATGCAGCCCGAGCCTGTCTCTCAGACCTTCCTGAGTGCCGCTCCTCTCGCTTACTGCGGCAGCTGATAAGTCCACTCCTGCATGCTTCTGCCTGTCTGTGTCGGCTTTCTCTCTGTCTTGCACTTGTCTCTAATCTCAAGTTTAAGTGTCGCATTTCCTTATCCTGAGCCCATTGCTTCGTTCTTACGGAACTCTTGTTGTTGCATTGTGCCCTTCAGCATCTTGTCTCTTTCTGTGGCAGGTACACGCTTGGGCCCGTGACTTGCTCCTGTCTTGTGATGGCGATGACCCTCTCTACGAGGAAAGCTGTTTGTGGCTTTGTGAGATCTAGCTAAGGTGGTACTGCCTTGGGTGTGTGCAATTGAGAACCTTGGACGTGTTGCTGCATGCTTGTTCTCAGTCGACTCGGTGCATGATGACATGTTGAGATTCAGTCTTACCTTGGTGTGACTCTGATGACCCATTTTGCGGAGCCAAGTTGATTGACGACGTGACTGATGGAGACACGTGATGAACTCTTTCTTTCTGAAATGCATGCGTAGACACTTCTCCACCTTTCGGTTCTGATTCTCCGGCATCAATGGAACTTGCGTACCAGCGTGCCTTTCTTAGCAACAGTTCGTATTTGATGCTGTCAGAAGACTGGTCAACCGCAATTGCCCCTGTGACAGATCTGCATGCTATTGCTTAGTCTGTCCTTGGAATTGCTAACTGCACTTGTTTGAAGGTACATGAGCGTGTCTCACATCGCTGATTCGTCTGAAAACCAGATGAGCTACAAAACTAACTTTAGCGGTGCGAGAGTGCGCTAGCAAAAAAACACCAGTATGAATGGCTAAGCTTCTTACCCATGATTTTTGCGGAAATTTTTCTGTCAAAGTAACACAATCCACCATCAGAGTTCTTGTGCCATCTGTAGAGTCAATCCACACTCAGGCTGTTGTGCTCCACAATGGAGCCTGATCCTAGATGTTTGTCCGTAGACGCAACGGCAAGGATGCTGCGCTCTGTCCGCAGCATCCTTGCTCGCAGGTGGAGCTTAGCATTCTTTTGGATTCTGCAGCATGCATGCTTGAAGCCTTTGTGACATGTGAAGCACGTTTTGCATGCGCATGCCTTTTCGGGTGTTTAGGGAAGCCTGGCTTTTTTCTTGAGCACATGTTGCAAGCACTGCTTTCAGTTCCGCCTGCTAGAGCTGTAGATGCCGCTCTTCGCCCAGGTGGGGGAGTGATTTGCACTGAGCATCGGCCCGTCCGCTTGCTTCTGCCAGGCTAGCTTCAGCGGTCCCTTCTCCTGGAGGCTGGACTCCGCCTGACTGCTGCCTGAGCTTGCTGCTCATCTGTCCGCCAGGTTCAGATGCTGCAGCCGTGACTCTCCAGCCAGGCTGGGTTAGGTTCACTGCAGTCACGCGCTGGCATGTTGCAGGCACTTAGGTCGAGGCTCGTGTTGGCGAGATATCCGGTGCGACTGGAGGAACTCGTCCATGCCGCGGGCCGCAGGTGGGAATGCTTGCGTTCAGACGCTTGTACGTGCTGGGATGATTGTGGTGCAGGTGAACTGAACTTGCTGAAGAAGAAGTGCGGGTCCCAGATGGTTTGGTTGACAACGTTCGTTTTTTTTCCGGCCGCTCTGAGGGGCAAATGCCTCCTTAGGGCCCTTAGGGCGATCATCTGTGCAACAAGCGCCGTTCGAAATGCGCCAGATATGCCTGCTACTTCGAGGCTTGTGCGTTGTTCAGGCCACTTGTTTCAATGTGCAATCAAGGCTCCGAAGCGTGCGCAGGGGGCTCCCCGCGCGTCGGGGCAGCGTCCCCGACTCGGCGCCGCCCAAGCAAGAAGGTTCTTGTTTTTATCGGTTGTTCTGGCAGCGGAGGGGGGTGGGGCTGCTGACAGGCCTCTGCTAGCACGGTTCTCCTCTGAACGAACTGTGAGGGTCCTGGAGAGCGATGCAGTGGCGCAAGAGTTTGTCTTGCGTATGTTCTGTCCTTGCCCGTCATTGTTCTTGTTCCCAGCTATTGGCTGAGGACGCTGGTGCTTGCTGGGATCTTGGGGCAGTGGCTCAGGGCGAGCAGCGTGAAAAAAAGTGTGTGGGGAGAAGTGCCAGCGATGATAGTTGCGTATCACTCTCATGGGCTTTGGGTTTGAGATAACACTGCAAGAAAACATGACTTATCAGTTTTCTGGTGCCATAAGTGTTTCAGCCCCCTGAAGCAAGCAAGCCTTTTCTGGTAGCCGCTGGAAAGTTTCCATTATCCTGGGGGTTTTGCTCTAGGTGCGTGCAGCAGCAACTGTCAGGGGTAGCCCGGGGAGCAATGTTTGGCACTGAAATTCTTAATAAGGGTTAGTACGCAAATCAAATTTCCAGGACGCCTTCTGCTAATCAATTTTTCAAATGCCACAAATATTACAACCCCTTGAAGCAACTGAGCCTTTTCCAGGTGCCTCTGGAAAGTTGCTGTTATTCTGGGGGGTTGTGCTGTCAATCCATGCAGGAGGAATTGAAGTAACTTTTTTCCTTTCTTCGGCGCTTGTTCTAGGGACGAGCCCTCTTGTTGCTTCTCTGGTGAAGCTCTGAGCCCGTTAAAGTTGAGCTGAGCCGAGCCCGTTAACGTTGAGTGGGGAATAGTGATGGACGTGCTCATGCTTCGGTATGATGCGCGACCTTCATGATTCATGACCCCAGCATACTTGAGGATTCGCCCCAGCTTGGCTGTGCCAAAAAGAACGAGTGCGCCTGAACTTCTGCAAGCCTATTTCGGATAAGCTTGATTTGGTATTTTCATCTCGAATCATAAGGTTGGAGATACTCTGATTGGATAATATTTGATGAATACTCATGGTAGGGCCTGCTAGGGCTATAAGCTAGTCTTGAGAAGTGTCTCATAGTGCATTATAGTCCACAATGTTTCAAAATTTGAGTTGAAAATTCTGAAACTCTCTTTTTGCAATCTTTGTCAACATGTTTTCACGATTGATGACTTCATGTTGATTTTACACGCGTTTATGAACATGAAGATTTTCATGATCACTGCTGTTGTATATTTATTCATGTGTGGGCATGGGAATATGCGTGCGCGGCGCAGTATCACCGCTCAAGCTGTGGTGCATGGGCCCACACCTGACAACTTTTCCTACCCACCCACCCACCCACCCACCCTGGGGAATAGTGATGGACGTGCTCATGCTTCGGTATGATGCGTCACCTTCATGACCCCAGCATACTTCAGGATTCGCCCCAGCTTGGCTGTGCCAAAAAGAACAAGTGCGCCTGAACTTCTGCAAGCCTATTTCGGATAAGCTTGATTTGATACTTTCATCTCGAATCATAAGATTGGAGAAGCTCTGATTGAATATTATTTGAGGAATACTTATTGCAAAAAGTTGTTAGGGCTATAAGTTGGCAGCAAGACATTGTATGGTTTTCATCATTTTCATGATTTTCAATAGTTTGGCATCAACTTTTATCAGTTCATTGTGTTCATGATTGTTCTTTCTTTTTCATCATTTAATGGTTGTCCGTCATTCGTTATTGTTCCTTAGTTTGCATGATGTCATGAGCTTTCATGACTTCCCATCATGTTTCATCATCTGTCAGCATTTTTCGTTGTTTTTTTGGTGCGTTCCCATGATTCGTCGCAATTTCTCGCCCCTTCTGCATGATTTATCATGGTTTTCATTATTTCCAATATCTGTCATCAGGTTTCACCATTTCTCATTTCATCTTTGTCATTACATTTTCGATTTTCCATCATACTCCATCACTTTTCAACAGTCTTCATCGTTTGCAATATTCTTTTGACTTGCTCATGTTTCAAGATTTTTCATTGCTTCTCACATTTTTCAATATGTTTCATTGTTGTACATCATTTTTCATCGTTCCACGGTTTTCCACCATTCCACGATTTTTCAATAGTTTTTTATTCATCGTTGTTTTTTCCATCAAGTTTCATGCTTTTCATTGGTTTTAAACAATTTTGATCTGCTTTTGTTTTTTTTGATCCCGCGTTATTCATGTGTTGATCCCCGGTTCTGGCTTCTTTCTACTATGCCACACATTTTATGATGATATGTTTTAAATTTTTTGACTCGAAATTTGTTGTTTGATCCTTATTTGTTTGTTTTTGTTCTTCCACCCTGCCGGTTTGGAAGGGGCATTGCTTGTGTTTGGTTCCATGCGAGTGATGGCCATCTCATTTTGTTTTGCTTTGTTCAAAATGAGCCAATATGTTCTGAGCAACTTAGCTAGTAGCCACGTGACAGTCGAAAAAACAAATTTGCATCCACAGCTTGCTGCGAGATACACACGCTTGTCGCTCGGAGCATTTGTGGCTTGAGGCAAAGCCTGCAATGGCCCAACAGCGTGAAGTCATGTGTCGCCAAGATCAAACCCGTTGCCCATACATTTGCAGAGCAATGTCTTGGTGTTGTAAGACAACATCCCAATGTCGATGAGTCGCAATTCCACACCAACATTGTTTGCCGCGTTGGCATAAGGTAAGATGCGCACTGCGCCGTTGCAATTTCATGAGGCTTTGCAGGGCAAAGCAGCATAAAAATTGTGTCCATCGACATTTTGTGATGTCACTTCTTCGAAGTGCTTGTGCTTCTAGTGCAACGTGCTCATGATGGCCAGGTAGCGGCTGTAGCAGTCGCAGTGCCTACTGTTTGGTGCGCAGCGCTGCTCACCTTGCACATTAAACATGACGTGCCTTCGTTCGAAAGTGTGCCTCCCCAAGTCTTTTGGAAGGGCAAATCCTACGGCGTCTGATCGTTCTTCGTTTTTACCAGACCAGGTTCGCAGCGGTGCCGGCGAACTGCAACGGGAAGGTTTCTGGGGCACGCTGCCGTCTGTCCGCATCTCAGAAGTGTGATTGTTATGTCTTGCTGCTTGCATCCTGTTGCAGAGGCATGGGACCATCCCGAGCCCAATTACCTGGTCAGTGGGGTCGTTGGTGAGTTCTGGAGCGTCGTTTGGCTTGGTTAGCATAGAGGCTGCTTGTTGTCATGCTAGGCGGACCAGGGGGGAACTTTTGAGTTGTTGCAGCAGCAAGAGGGCAAACATTGGACTGTAGAGCCCGCTGCGCTCGATTCCATGCTAGGTTCTCACCACCATTCCAGTGGCGGGAGCGTTGTTGCTATACCTGGGCTTGCGTTTCGGCTATGGCTCCAAGGCCCGCCTGAATCAGATCCGTAATGTCCTGCCCCAGTAGGTTGCGGATCGCCAAAGTTGCACACGTATTTGGTAACAGGATTCCAGTTCTTGCGGGTCACTGAAGCACTGCATTTTCTCATAACCCAGTTGACAGGTGATGGCGATCTACGCGCTCACCTGCTGTATGTGAGCCATGCTGCATGTGGAGGTTTCGCGAAATTAGGAGTACCGTCTTGGGGGCGAATTGGGATGTATATTGGGGTCCCCCCGTTCATGGAAAACCCCTTCTGGGTCTAACGCGCTCCCAAGACATGGCTAGGCCAACGCATGGTTTCAAGAGTGTCTGCCCTCACAGAACGGCTCTTCCCGACAGCATTTTGGCAAGGTATTCATTGGCTTTCACGGCGCATTTGACGCTTCAGATGCACATATTCTCCACCACGGTGACTTGTCTTGTACAAGTCGTACGTGGTTCCCTGTGATGTCTTCCATGGAAATTAAAAGTTTGCGAGGATTGAAAGCCAGGGTTCAGGCATGCACAGGCTTCAGAAAGTTGTGGCGGTTTTGCGGTTTGCGAGGCACGTAGAATGGGCTGTTTTCTTTCTAGCGTCGCCAGGCTGCATCACTATTGCTTGGTGAACCACAGAGAATTCCAAGGTGATTGCCGTGATGAGCAACGTGCGAACTCCCAGTTTGGTGCCGTCCAGCATGCTGATTTCGGAGATTCCGCTATGTACTCCACCCGATCTGATCCAACAAGACTTGACAAGTGCCAAGCCTTCGAAACGCAGTGCTCAGTAGAAGATGGAGCCTTGTGTTCAGCTGTGCACTGAGGCCTTGCTGACCTTTGTCATGTTCAGCCACGTTGTTCACAAGGCTTTGGAGAGCGTGCTTTTGCGCTCGCTTCCCGGACTTAGGGAGGTTTTCTTAGGACTCTTGGATGTTCTCTGCTTTGAAACGGCTGAGGTGGAGCCATTGTCATTGCTGCTGAGCTGGTCCTGGCACTGGCCTCAAAAATGAGATTGGAGGTCAAGGGCAATTCTTTTTCTGAGAACCATGGAAAAAATCAATTTCCGCCCCAAGGTAAGTACTGTGGCGACACTGCCGTACAGGATGGAGCACGGTGGCGCCGAGACCTCAGTTTTTGGTTTCAGCCTAACCTCGCTATCTACACCTGTAGGTGTATTCCTGCGCGGCTGTTCAGGAATCCAAATTAGGTTACTATAATAAGGAAATTTTAGTATTTAGTATATGCCCATATTATGGTAAGTGAGCTTATGTTCCTTAACAGCAACCATGATTAGGAAGGCAGGCTTAGAAGCTTAGGAAGTTGGAGGTTCAGTGAAGAATTCGCAACTACAAGAAGGTCTCGAGCTTGAGGAACTAGGGCCCTTCATCTTCAACCCACACCACAGTCCGCATTCGTGCGAACAGGTGTGGACGCTCTTTATAGTCCAGGCTCCTGGCGTGCGGCCCTGGGTGAGTTCAACCCACGTTTCATTCCAAGGAGTGCATGGAGCTCTGGATTAAGGCATCAGGATTCAGGGTTGAACTCATTCTGTAGTACATGCTCTGGCGCAGCAGGGGACCTCATGGCGTGGGCTTGTCAACCGCTAGATGTGGGAGAAAGTCATTTTGCGGCAAGGTTGCTACGGGAGTTGTTGTTCGAAGCTATTTTGGAGAGCCAGCAGCAGCTGTTGTTAGCGTGCGTCCTCGCAATGTTTTCTGTACTGCTGTCCTCGCATCAGCCAATAGAAAGCGAAGCCAGTGCAAAGGTCTTCTTAGCGACCGCCTTGGCCGGCATCATGGCGGCAGTCCCAGTTAGCGGGTTCTGTGCAGGCGGTGCCGGGACGACATCTAAGTTCATCTACGAAGTTCATCCAAGCAGAATACACAAGGTTCCACAGATCTTGAAATTAGCAGGCACTAGGAAGCCAGGCCTGGCGTTTATTGCCCAAGCTTGCTAAATCCTGGACTCAAGGAAGCTGGGACTATTTTCTTCCATGTCTGCGAGGCCCGGACTTCGCAGCGGGCCGAGGAACGAGCCACGTATGGCTTGGCGGTAGCCTTGGAGGGATGGCTTCAAAATCCATTGGAAGGTCCGTATAGGTGGCATTCGAGGATTGCATATCATTTGGGTGTTTCAGGGTTGCTTTAAAAAACGTACAAAATTACTTGGAAATACCCTGTCGACATGCGTTTGGGCTGCAAAGTCTTTTTTGGAGCTAAAAGCTGCAAGGCTCTCAACCATTCCGAAATGCAGCGAAACGTGAGTCAAGAGAGGTGACTACTGCTGGAACCTTGCTGAGCTCAGCGATGGTTGCAGCCTCAGCCGCCTGCAGGGAAAGATGGATTCGGCTGATGCTACAGCTCAAGGCTCAAGGCCTTTTTTTGCTTCTGACCAATTCAGAACCCTCTTGTCGGTTTGCCAAATGCTGCAAACAGCAATGTGCTTCTCAATCCGAGGTCTTGTCGCTGGTGGAATGTGTCATTGGATTCGAGTGGGGCTCCCAGAATTCAGAGGAACATAATTGTTCCTGCCACGCTGTGCACCCCACAGCACGGCATTCACGGCTCTTGGCTGGGTCCAGCTACAGCTGCTCCTCCGAGGTGAGTTGTATTTGGGGATACTTTAGTAAAGTACCCGATACAATATAGAGTAAGAGTAATTATATCCCACTCAGGTGGGGTTTCCTCGAAAGCGTGTGGGGCTTCCCCTGGCTGCACATCGGCATCCACATTCTGGAGCAGGACAACCCTCACTCGGTGTAGGTCATACGACTGCGCATGGCATCCTTATAAGACGATTCCTTCGTTTTGCACTTAAGCTTGTACATCTTGCGCTGAGAGAGCAAAGCTCTATCTTAAACCTTACGCGTTCCGAACTACCTGATCAGGTTGGGATCTACGTCTTTGGCGTGGGTGCTGCTGCTCTGGAGGCCCTGAACTGGCAGCAAGCAAGCAACGAAGCGTGCCCGACGGACATTTGAGCAACGGATTCAAAAGAGGCCTTCTTGTGTGTAAGGCAGCTAGGATCAAGGCCGAGGAGTCGCGTAAGCGAGTTTAAGGCTTGGGGTGTATTCATGTGCTTGCCAGGCCTTGCTATTGCGGCCGGATGCTTTCAAGGGAGCGGAGGCGTCCGCAATCAAGCTCTTCCAGTCAACAAAGTCATACCATATTGCGCCAAGGTTCGCCATTTGGGCTGGTTGGTATACCTGTATTATCCTGGCAAGCTGGAGTGAGCCTCTCAGCAGCTGCGTAGCTGCGTAGCAGTGCCTGGGAACTCTGGGAACTTGTTCTCAAGGGCGATCTGAGTAGTCTGCGCATCAAGGCCCCTTGCCGACCTCAAGGGTGACTTTGATGTTGCCGCTGCCTGACAGTGGGACGAGAGCCCATGCTGAGCTAGGCTGTACTAGGAAGATGATAGCAAAGTCTCTGGCAGAAGGTGTAACCCTGAAGGGAGAGAGGCTCACAACTGCTCAGAGCCTCGGCTGCCATCGGCCATCTGAGGCGAGTGCTGTGCTGCAGGCGTCCGTTCCAGGCGGGAGTCCATGCAATGCCAGCGTGCACGAACCGAAAGTCTTCCCACTTGTGAGCCTGAGGATGCTGTCAGCCGTTACAAGCCATTTTGCTCTGGCAAGCAGTGTTCGAGTTGAAAAGATCAAAACAGTTGTTTGCCGGCTTGTTGCCAGCATCAACTCCAATCTTTCAAGCATACATCAAGCGTAACCTCAGAGGGTCCTTGTAGTTCTCTGCAGCCGTTTCAATGGGCTGTGCTTCCCACAAGATCAGTTATGCTCGCTCCTCACGACAATGGCAAGGGTGCATCTCCCAGGTCCTAGGGGACTGCCTTTTGCCGAGGTCCGTGAGATTGACCTTCCGGGGCAGGACTGGGACGGAAGGGGTACAGTTTTTGAGGACCAAGGGTTCCCCTCACACTTACCGCAAATCTTAGGGCGGCCTGCATGCAAAGCAGGAAGGTGTGGCATGTACCATGCTGTTGGCTCAGATTAGCATCCCTGATATGCAAAGATGCACTCTGAAAAAGATGTGAAGCTTACAAAATGGTCTGCCTTCCCTGCAGGCTGCCTCAACAAACGTCACCGTCGTGCGGCTAACTGGTGAGAGGACCCAATGTGGAAATTTAGCGTAGACTGGGGTAGACTCGTGTCAAGGTCTGTGCTTGTGGTACTGCAGGGCTTGAAGCACATGGGGCTGAGATGACATGACTCTGTGTTTGCTGTATTGCATGACAGCCAGCATTGCTTTGAAGCCTGCAACTGTTGCGAATTTTCCTGCAGGATTTTGGCTACTTGTCTGCATTCTGCCTTGTGCAAAACTGCGTGGGACTTTCTGGCTGTGCGCATCTGAAGGATGGCGCGGAGCGACTGGAGACAGTGACGGTCGGGGAGCTGAAGGAAGAGATTGCTCCTGGGCTGCTTAAACCTTTGTCAAACGCTTGAGGGTTGAAAGCTTATTCACGCAACAGTCTAGAACTTCACCGTCGATAATCCTAACGATCTGAGCATCCAGGAGAAGTGCCAGGATGTCCCTGCCTATCAGCAGGCCAAGCTCGTTGCAAAGTTGATCTTAGCATTTGAAGGGTGGCTGCGGAGTATGAGCTTGCTGCAAACTGGCATCAGGCGTGTGCGTCCTGAGTAGGAGCTTATCTGTGGATCCGAGATTCTTGCCGACAGCACTGCCCTGCGAGACTTGACTTGCCAAGGGAGTTCGGCCTACTTCTTTACGCTGAATCCAGTGCAGGTTGAATGTATGAACCTCCACTGGCTGTCCAGGACAAGTGGCAAAGTCACACGATGTCGAGTTGCAGCTAGTAGTCCAAGACAGACGCTGTGGCATTCACTTGGGCAAACTTGTGGATGGCGCGTACTGCAGCTCTGGCTGTTATGGGTTGCTCGGCTGCACTTCTCATGCTGAACAAGTCTCAAAGACATGGTTTGGAAGCTGGTAGGACTGTGGACGGCGCCTTTCTTTTGAATGGGCCAAACGAGTATGTCAAATGGCCGATCCAGCTGGAGGGAAACTTTTCAGTGCGTACCCGGTTTCGCATCTCTGCTACACTTCTTTTGAATGGGCTGAGCTGCTTTGCCTCGGCAGCTGATCTTCATTTTTTTGTGTCGAACATGAGGGAGATGCGTATTTGACAATGTCGTCAAGCCAATGTGAGAATTAAGGGGTGGCTCATTCGGCGTTGACCGCTGTGCTCTTCGTATTTTGGGACACGGCGCCGAAGGAGGCCAGGCATCCATACTTTCAGTCCCACCAGATGGACTGCGATGGAAGCTGGCTGGATCAAGTGGGCTTTGCCGCATGCCTGCAAGCAAAGATTCTCACCTCTGGTTCTTTCATTTTGTTCGAGCCTCTTGAGGGCAAAGACATGCTTGCACTCATTCGAGTTCTTCAGTTGGGGCCATGTGAAATTGACACGTTGCCAGTGAACCTCTGTGGAAGAGTCATGCCAAGGTGGTGAACCGTCAGGGAAGCCACATCCTGAAGTCTGGGGCACACTGGGGCTCGGCCGTGCTTTTCCCTGGCGAGGTTGTGGAGCATCTTGCCAGAACGTGCAGATATTTGCAGATCTTGTAGATCCATGGAAAGGGGGGACGCGGAGCCTCTGTGACATTGTATGAGGCCGCAAGAGTGGTGCGGCGAATGGCACGAAGTCTCCCTGGAGCGTGAAGCTGGCCAGCTTACAGTGATGGTCGATGGGAGCCTTGGCTGAAGTTTGTCCTCCACATCTCCCGTCATGAACGGACAACTCGTCCGACGAAGGGTAGCGGCTGTTGTCCGTTCCTGTGAGCTGCCACTTCCCTGTCTAAGGAAAAAGGCAATGACAGCCAGCAACCACGTTCAATTGGGATTCACTTTCCATGTTTTTGGTCTTCCGCCCTCAGAGCAGGAACTGGGAAGTCCTCTTGGGCTTAGGAGCTCGATGCAGTTTGTGTCCATGCACCTTGCACTGCCTTGCACTGTAGCTCAGGCATGACATGGCGAGTGGCTGCAGTCGGCTTGCGTCCCCATCATGAATCTCGGGGCGCGATACAGATTGAGGGATTGAGCTTAGACTGAGCCCAGAGAATGCCCTGAGCCCGATGGATTGTTTTTATTTCCTGTGTATGCCTGAGCTTGGTTTCTTGACTTGGCTGGGAGTGGTATGGGCTTTTTGTACATCAGCCAAAGCTGGCACTGTGGTGTTATCCGAGCCAAGTTGGTGCCCCAATGGCATGCTGGGTTGAAGCCCAAAGGGCAGAAGCCTGGCTTAGCTTTCAGTTGCACATGCAGGTTGAATTTCAGAATGCATGAAGGGGAAGCGTCAGCCTCCTGTCCAAGACACTCGCTTCCATTGTACAGGCATGGCTGCAGGCTGGCAGATGGCAGCCGAGCAACAAATCTGGCTTTGTGTCCAGGACGCGAGTTCTGGGGTAGCTGCCCAGGCTTCTATGGTTGGAGCTCTGCGCAGAGTTCCTGAGCCCTAAACCCAAGGCCCAAGCCCTGACTTCCAAATTCTAAGTTCCTAGGAGTTGCTGGGATGCGACGGTGATGCAACTTTTGCTACCCAAGTGCATCCAGCAATCTTCTCAAGCAAGGTGAGCAAGCGCTTGCTCGTGACAGAAAGGTTTTCCGTTGTTCATCCTGGTCTCCATGATGATCATGATGTTTCTGTGACTGCTGTGATGGCTATCGTGGTTGGTCATGATAGCCCGTTATTTGTGTTTCTACCCCTACGGCACGATCGCAGTTTTTGTGACGTCCGGCGCTTTGCCAGCAGGTCAACCAGCCGCCATACGAGCTCCTCCGACATCTTCTCCCAATGGTGCAAGGCATGCCTGAAATTAGCAGGGAGAAGGTTGCAAGTAGTCATACTAACCATAGCACTATTAGAGATTGAACCAAACTTGGAATATCAGACAGACTTACAGTAAAGTAATACTTTCATAGAAATGAGCACCACGTCGGTTGTCAGTATTGGCTTAGTTGTACGAGCTTGCGCGCTGCAAATAAGCTAGAATGGAAGCCCGAGCCTGGAAGGTTGAGAATTAAATCTGACTGAAGATTGCCCCCGCAAGTCTCTACTTGCTCACTAGTTCCAGGATATTCCAGGATGCCATTCTCTGCCAATCCCAGAGACTCCAGTCGCCCCGCACCGTAGCCGTCCTAAGCCGCAAGCCAGCCGCAGGGATGGCGCCCCGATGGAAAGCAATGGCATTGCACTCGGGTTGGCTTTTTGGCTCTTGCCGGGCATGCTGGGCTTATCATGTGCGATATGTGCTGGCTCTCAGGTCACAAGCCAGCGCCTGGGGCGAACGGCATGCAGAAGAAACCCTCGGTGTGGGGCTTGGGGAAATCCATGTCGGCCTGTGAAGCCAAACAACCTTGTTGCAGCTTTTGGGCTTGAGTATTTTATGGCCCAGAAGTCACCTTGGGCATGTCTAGCATTATTTGCATCTCCTGAGACTTCTCATGCTGCTGACTTACACGTTGCTGGAAAGCAGCAGTTAGCTTGGCATGTCGTGTTGCTAGGGCTGCTTACTCAGTTGGAGACGACGGTGCAACGTCGGAAGCGAACTGAAAGCCTTGCCCTTGGTGGCCTTGTCTGAAGTCGGTGACAGGATGTCAGGATGACAGTGGAAGGATGTGGAAGGGATCTTGGCACAAGCGTCGTCTGCTCTTAGGCCCCGGCCTCTCGCACCTCGCCGCTGGCTCAGACAAAGCCGCGGCGGAAAAATCGTCACCTGGCTTGATCACCCAGGCGAGACCCGGAGGCCTCCAAAGCAAGCCGTGAGCAGCACCGTGAGTAGCCGTGCTGCTGCGTTGCAGCCTTTTCTCTCTAGATCCTAATGCGAGGAAGAGTTCGCCGCTGAGGGCCTCTGAAGCTGTACACAGGTCAGTTCAGCAGGAACGCCGCAGTCGTCCAATTCTTGCCTAGAAGCTTTTGGAGCCTCAGCTGTCTGAGTTTTGCTGATTCTGAGCTTTGGGTGGAGTCCATGTGATCGTAGCCAGATGTAGCCAGCACCTTCTTTGTAGAACTTGCATTTGTCACGGGGACTGCTTGCGCAAGACCCAAGCTGCCTCTGGCAACTTGGGCAGCATTGCTTGCCCAGGATTGCAGGTGCCTCAACTTTCGCAAAATGCAGAAAGAACAGCAACAAATGCAGCCTCCATGGACGTGGAGACTTTGAAATCGTTGAGTCACCTGAGACCTGCATCGCTTATTTCTGCTAGCCGGGTGGCTTGCGCGGGAAGCTCGATGCTCGCCCCGGACGAACCAGTGAAATCCCAGAAGCTTCGCAACCCGTACTGGTCTGTCTGTGGCCCGAGCTTACCGGCAGCCCGGTTCCCAAGATTCTAACATCTCTTCTCTGACCGGGTTAGAGGAGCCGAGTAATTCAGCTTCCCGAGGCAGAGCCCCTGCACAGCCATAACTTAGGTTGTCAGCTAGCTATTACGTAATAATTCTTCGCAGAATTCTCACTAGATGTTCCCTGTCTGCGTCCTGGGGCTGCTTGGGCCCCACGGTGCCTCACTCCAGGAGGACCATGGCATGCCAGTGGGCCTGTAGAAGTGGAAGCTGGGTATCCTCGCAGGGTGAGCCGAAGCTGCTTGGAGCTTCAGGGCAGCAAAGAGATGTGGCCATCCAGGCGACGTGCACATTTTTCGACGGTAGAGGGCTTGTGTGGGCTTGAGTGGACTTCCGCGCTCTTGGCTCTGTGGCCTGGAGATGGTAGCGTCGAAAATCGAGAGCTCTGGATATGGTTTGTCTTGAGGATGCGGTGGAATGGAGCAAGCCATGTTTCTCTAGTTCCTTGGCCTGCCATCGTGGTCCTTCGTGGTCGCCGATCCACATGCTTGGTGAAGACATGTCGCGGTCCTTAAGCAGCAGCCTCCACAAGGAGGTCAAACCCTAGGCTCACGTCTGTTGTTAGTTGGGAAGCAGTGATTATAATCCCTCTTTTATCCCGACAAAATCTATTTCCTTCTTCCCTGTTAAACCCAAGAAGCTGGGCCCCAGTAAGTAGAATCTTGTTCCTGGGGCCCTTCGCAGCGCTTCCGGTGTTGGGCTCTGCAGGGTGCTTGCGCCGGGGCAGCTTCTTTGGCCATCCCTGGCCAAGGACCATGGCAAAGCGTGCGAACTTGGCAAACCCCTCTTAGCTTGGGCTACTATAATATACTATACGACAGTAGCTTCCATTTGGTGTTCCATTCTCCTTATATAACCCCTAAATACCCCTAAATACCCCTATATACCCCTATAAATCATCTGTGCAGCCAGGAGCACTCCGCCATGTGCCAAGAAGTACCCCTCGTCTGAGGCCAGGCCTGATCTTGCCCTGCAAGTGACCCGCTTCTTTTTTGACGCATGAGGCAGCAGAATGAAGCAGCCAGCTCAGAATGTAGACGATGCCAGGGCAAGGGTCACACTGATTCTCTTTCCGGGAGGTATGAGCATGATCAAAACAAGCACGACTTCCAGGTTGGTGCTCCTTGTCGTGCTGTTGCCGTGGCTCCAGGCAGGGAGCGGCACTGGGCGTTCCAAGTTGCGAGAGTTTTGCGTCGAGGGCCCTGCAAGGCCAGCAATGTCGCAGATGGAGACGCCTCGCTGCAGACGCACGTTGCCCAGACTTTGTCGGTCCTACTACAGGGGTACATAGGAACAATTAAAGCAGAATCAAATGGAAAACAAGATGGAGAATGAAAAGGAAACTGCTCGACATGCGGGCTATATTATATCCTGCTTTCAGGTATTGTAGGGTTGGAAGCCAGACAAAGGTCGCAGGATGCTGCAGCACTCCAGCAGCACTCAGTGTCGGCAGTCGTGGACCTCTTGAAGGCGTGCTGATGTGCAAAGTTTATTTGTTCTTGCGGCTGCTTTGAGATGCTCATCAATCCACCTTTGATTTTCTGGCATTGCATTTGCAGCTGTCTTGTTCAACCTTTAACCTTCCTTTCGTTGATGCCTGAGTGCTTCAAGAGACATCCACTGTCCTGTTTAGCTATACGTTTCAGCATCCCAAAAAGGGGTGCTGCGACCAAAAAGTAGCTTTCATGGTTTGGGACTCATGGCCAGCTGACCAGGTCGTCTCACCCCAGCTCCTCTCCAGAGATTGTCAGGAATTTTCTTGCTTGTATGGTCATTGTACGGTCACTCAAGAAGGGGTTGGTCATGTTGATCAAAGCCCCGCCCTCCCCTCCCCCCCTTTTCCGAGGCTCTGGCCACTTGTGGCTTTTTTTGCTGGCCTAGCAGTGCACTGGTTGGCGACGCGACAGAGCCTTCCCCCAGGTTTATGTGGCATCGGAAGCTCCGGTCGCAGCGCGAAGAACGTGAAAGAAGCAGGAGTGGCAGGAGCAGGTGGCGAGCAGCTTGTTCAGGAGGAGCTGGGGAAGGTCTTGGTTCAGTCCTGGAAGCTGGCTTGCCAGTATTTGGTACATCTCCATTTGTTGCCATTCTTTGCGAGCATCTATGATTATCAGCGCAGGCGAAATTGGATGTCGTTGTGCTTTATGGTCTCCTGCCTTTTGAACTACGTAGCTTTCCTAGTCTCGGCTTGGCAGTCCTTCACGCTGACCCCGCGCCGCGCCAACTTTCTGTGTTCTGTTGTCTATTCAAACGTGCTCGTTGCTTTGATTTGCAGCTCTTGGGAGACGAAGGAAGACTTCTTGGCACAGAGGGATCTGTTCATGATGGCGCAGATCATCCTTTCCGTTGTATATCCACAGCGCGCGCTCGCCACTGGCTTTGCCGTTTGCTTCTTGATCGGGTATGTGTGGACAACGTGGCGCGCGTGTGGTGATCAAGCTTTGACTCTGTGGTTTGGTGTCTTCCAAGTCTTTCAGGCCGTAGTGACTATGCTCTTCCCTGTTGTCAACGAGACGATGAACCGGGAGTGCATCATGGCCGTCGTCAGCGCTCAGGATTCAGAATCTCTCGTGTTCCAAGCCTGCAGCTAGCATGTTTTCCTGCGATGCATGTGTGTTTTGTTTTCCAATCCAAGCTGCCGAGGACAGCCTTCCGCCGCATGCTGAAAGGTGTGTGTGAGGGAGATGTACTGCTGGACTCGGATTTGACAATTTGCGAAAATGCTGATTGCCTTAACAGGCTGCTGCAGAGAGCCGACATGTTAGGCCAGAGCTTTTCCAACCTTATCATCCAGGATGAGGATCCCATCAAGACTTTCACAAAGTTTGTGGAAGACTCCGCTGACATGCCAAACAGCGTGTCAAGTCTTCCGCAGGGCCTTCGTGTCTCCCTTAAGGGAGCGCACAGACGAGTTGCTGTAGATGTCTTTCATGTTGCTCTTCCCAAGGCCCTAGGTCTGTCCTCTGCGCGCCACCTTCTGGCATTAGTGCAGGATGCAGATACTCAGCCTCACATGGCCGAAATGGACGAGACTCCAGATCGCCAGCAGTCTGAGGAAAGTGGTTCAACATCAGAAGCTTCTTCGTGCGCTGAAGCGGTCCAAGCATTTGAGGAGTTGTCCCAGCTTACGCTGCTGCTCAATGTCAGCACGGACCTCATGGACGTGGAGGAGGTGTATATGCGCTTCGCTCGACAAACGGACGCGGAACAGGTCAAGTATTCAATGCCCACTCTAAAGAGATTTGTGCGCCCACTGGACTGGTTTGCTTTAGAAAGGCAGTTGCGAGTGTTTGCTGATTCAGCAGCACGAGCCCTTCCAAAGCCCAAGAAGCTCCCGCCGCTGATGCTACGCATCCCTGGTGACTCGGCGAGTTTCCTTAGCGCAAGGACCGTGTCAGTGAAGTCCATCTTCACCGGCCCGCGACCATCTGGGCAGCCTGCCTGGGTGCATCTTACGTTGAGCAGCTTCAATGAAGAGCCCCTGGGTCGGCCTGAGGTAATGGACATCGTCGAGGAGAATAGCGCAGAGAGCTCCTCAGCCGGCACCGAGAAGCAAAAAGGGGAGAAGCCAGCACTGCCTGTCAAAGAATTAGCCTCCGCCTGTCAGTTTGACCTGAAAGGCAATGTCGAAGACGATTGCACAAGAGACGGAGGAGGACCAGAAGAGCTATGATAAGCTCCAGTGCCGCTCAGCGATTTTTCAGTATGAGGTGGCAGTTGTGCAGAAGTTGTAGTGAGGATCCTGACACATCGAAAATATCCACCGTCCCCAACATTGCCTCCAATGAAAGGGGAATCCGCATTCACGAGCTTGCGAACACGAATTTGCGATATTTTTGAAAATCTAGATGCATGGAAGCTGATGACATATTCGTTTTTCGAGGTTGATGAATCAATTGGATTGATGAGGAAAAGTAAGAACTTCGTTAAAGTAATGAGCCAGACTTGTCACATCAAGCTGACTACTGTAGTTAATTGTTTTTTTCAGACAGCAGAATGTTTGTTTGTTTGCTACGAAACCACCCCTCAATGCTCACAAGTTCCCTCATTTTGAATGTCATTTTGCATACTGGAGAATGACTAGATATTTTTATCATGTTTTTGAGGAGGGGGGGGGGCAATATGAGTCCAATACCTTTCATGCGATGAAGCTGTGGGAATATGCAGCAGCACGAAGATCGTTAATGCCGTCATGTTTATTGGGGTAAAGTCACAAACAGCGGTTCTGCAAATCATTATGATCCGTTTTTGTAAGGATTCCCAACCATTGATCCTTAGTTTTGGAAACTCACCTCCTGACCATCTCGGAACCCCGGGATTTGGGAACTGAACTGCTTTTGTGCTACTATGAGAAAGATCCCCTTTGCCTATTCTCCTGAAGCTAATTCGGAACCTCCACCAGGGCCCATGAAGACTACTGTCCTTCTGAAGGGGGTGGTATCTATCAGGTTATAGTCCCGTCCCCCTTTAGTAGATAGAATTTGGCTTTGGGTATATTGTAATAAGTTCCCCATATACCCC